CAGCTTCACACGTGACTCAGATCCACCTTGCTGTCCTTTATGCCTATCAGCTCGTGCACCATGGCCTGGGGAGGAAAAGAGCGGGAGGGGGGCGTGCTCTTGGCGAGGGGTGGGGAGAGGGTCTGAGGCACACAGCTTCACACGTGACTCAGATCCACCTTGCTGTCCTTTATGCCTATCAGCTCGTGCACCATGGCCTGGGGAGGAAAAGAGCGGGAGGGGGGCGTGCTCTTGGCGAGGGGTGGGGAGAGGGTCTGAGGCACACAGCTTCACACGTGACTCAGATCCACCTTGCTGTCCTTTATGCCTATCAGCTCGTGCACGATGCCCTGGGGAGGAAAAGAGCGGGAGGGGGGCGTGCTCTTGGCGAGGGGTGGGGAGAGGGTCTGAGGCACACAGCTTCACACGTGACTCAGATCCACCTTTCTGTCCTTTATGCCTATCAGCTCGTGCACCATGGCCTGGGGAGGAAAAGAGCGGGGAGGGGCAGGGGGCGGAGAGGAGCAGGAGTGCAGAGCAAGGAGAAGAAGTGAGGGGAATCTCTGTGCCTCAGTCACTCTCGTTGCCCACGTCACTCAAGTCCACCTTGCTGTCCTTTATGCCTATCAGCTCGTGCACCATGGCCTGGGTAGGGGGGGAAGAGGGAACGGGGAGGGGAGGGCGGGGAGAGGAAGTGACAACGTTATCCAGGCTGCCAGTTAAGTCGTGGCCTTGTTACAATCCCAGGCACTGTCGAAGGAGACAGGTGGGCTGCGAAGGCCTTGCTGTATTAGGACAACGAGACAAACTCCATGAGAGAATGGTGGAAAAAGCAAGAGTAACGGGGAGACTGGGTCGTCCCGACTACCCACCACCACCAGCAGCGACAACGGCAGGGCATGTGTATGTGAGTATGTGGTAACCAGCTCATACCATCCGTCATCAAGCCATAAACACCGCCAAGCATACCTGGTACGTCCACTGGGTGAGCAACGGGGAAACTGGGTCGTCCCGCCTATCAACCACCAGCAGCAGCGGCAGAGCGTCCGTGCGCCTGAAATCAAACAGAGGCTTCTCTGCCTCGTACATGATGCGCTGGGGATGGGAGAAGTAGGGGGGAAGAGGTGGGGGAAACGGAAGGAAGTGGGGATAAGGGGGTACGACACCAGCAGCAGCGGCAGAGCGTCCGTACGCCTGAAATCAAACAGAGGCTTCTCTGCCTCGTACATGATGCGCTGGGGATGGGAGATAGGGTGGGGACCGTGGGGTGGGTTGGACATGGGTGGGTGGCGGTTGGAAGGAGTATAACGACACGTGACAGGGATGAGAAGCGGCAGGGCGTCAGTGCGCCTCAAGTCAAATAGGGGCTCCTCTGCCTCGTACATGATGCGCTGTGGAGGGGAGAAGTAGGGGGGAAGAGGTGGGGGAAACGGAAGGAAGTGGGGATAAGGGGGTACGACACCAGCAGCAGCGGCAGAGCGTCCGTGCGTCTGAATTCAAAGAGGGGCTTCTCCGCCTCGCACATGATGCGCTGTGGAGGGGAGAAGGGGGGAAGGGGTGGGGGACGCACATGAGTGAGGGGGGCGGGAGGGCGAGCATAAGGAACAGCAGTGGCAGGGCGTCCGTGTGGCTGAAGTCAAAAAGTGAATGCCCAATCAGACCCTGGAAGCGGATGGATGGGCGTTCCTTCAAGCTCAGGCAGAGCTCCAGCAGGGCGTCCACTGAGCGGTCATGTGGGAGGTGCACTGAGAGATCCTGTGGGTGATCTACCAAGAGCTCGGCCACCCTCTGGTGATCTACCGAGAGCTCGGCCACCCTCTGCGTGTTGTGCAGGTCGACCGTGGCTGCAACGGGCGTCCAATGAGACCCTCCCATGCTCTCTCCCTCCCATGCTCTCTCCCTCCCATGCTCTCTCCCTCCCATGCTCTCTCCCTCCCATGCTCTCTCCCTCCCATGCTCTCTCCCTCCCATGCTCTCTCCCTCCCATGCTCTCTCCCTCCCATGCTCTCTCCCTCCCATGCTCTGCTCTCTCCCTCCCATGCTCTCTCCCTCCCATGCCCACTCACCCCTGTTTCATGTGCCACCCGTCTCGCAAGCTCCGATCCCCGCTGAAACCGGATGGAAGGGCGCTTTTTCAAGCTCAGGCAGAGGGCTAACAATGCGTCCACTGATCGTTCGGCCACCCTCTGCGTGTTGTGCAGGTCGACAGTTGCTGAGACGAAGGAGTAGACGTTGAGAGGCACGTGCAGTGTGAAGTGATAGGCGTCTAGGGCGAAGAAATCCAAATAGTACTCCTGAAAAGAGGAGAGAGGGAAGGGGGGGGGAGAAGGGAGAGGGAGAGAGGGTGGTTCAGTGTTTGCCTCTCTACCTCTCACCTGCACTTGCAACCTCTCTACCTCTCACCTGCACTTGCAACCTCTCTACCTCTCACCTGCACTTGCAACCTCTCTACCTCTCACCTGCACTTGCAACCTCTCTACCTCTCACCTGCACTTGCAACCTCTCTACCTCTCACCTGCACTTGCACCACTGCCGCTCGGGCCTATGTGTGTTTGTTTGGCATCTAATAAAAATGCATTGCACCCATTCTGCCTCGTACCCGCCTTACAGCCCTTCTGTCTTTCACCTGCACTTGCACCATTCTCCGGGTTACCTGTACTTGAAGTTCAAAAGCCTCTCACCTGTACTTGCACCACTGCCTCTTGGGCGTCCGCGTCAGCAAGAACGTGGATGAGTGTGTTGTTGAGAATGTTGGTGAAGACTGAAGGGCGGGAATGGGAGGGGAAGTGGGGGGGGAGACCGACGGTTTTGAGTCTACTCAGTAGGCGTCCGCGTCAGCAACAATGTGGATGAGTGTGTTGTTGAGAATGTTGGTGAAGACTGAAGGAGAAGAGGGATGGGGAGGAAGTAGTGGGGAGAGAGCTTTTGAGTTGACCCAGTGGGCATCGGCATCAGGAAGAGATGAGCGTGCTGTTTAGGATGTTAGAGAAGACCGATGGAAGGGAATGACTGGCAAGAGCAAAGGGAAGGTAGAGGGGCTTCCCCTGACTGGAGTAAATCCACAAACCAAGTGGCACCTTGAGTGTGCTCAGTGCACGGACGCATTCCTATCCCACTGCGTCAATCCCACTGCTGTTATCCCACTACCCACCCACCTCGCTATACTCACACAGATGGTACTCCCCGAATCTGGGATTCCTGAGGTGCCACTTTAAGTGGTTTGCATTCTCCCCGGTCGGCCTCAGGATGCACACGGCTTTAAGATGTGGCATAGGCTCCGCTCCGCTCCCCCCTGTCTCGCCCCTACTGCCACCGCCGCCGCTGCTACCGCTGCCGCTGCCTCCTTTAGAGTCAACCTTCTCTACAAGCACCACGTCGCGGTGTAGAATCTCGGATTGCGTTAAAACGAGGCTGACTATAGGCAGCTGAAGATGGACGGTCAGGATTGCAGGTAAAACGGGGACGGGGACGGTGAAGGGGAAATAGGAAAAGGGGGGAGGAGAGAAGGTGGAGATGGGGGTGGAGAGGGTGTGGAAAACGTGTGGGGAAGGAGGTGAGAGGTGTATGGGAAAGGGAAGGCGGCGAGGGAGGGGGAGGGGAGTGGGGAGGCCACGGGAGAGAAGTGAGGGGAAGGGAGGTAGAAGAAGAGAAGAAGGGCAGAAGGCGGAAAGATGTGGAGGTTGTCAATATCGGGGATACGCGTGAGAAACAGCCATCAGGCGACGAGTATGAAGGCGGAGCTTAACGTTTCACAGCAGTCGGACAGACGCGTAAGTGAAGACGATTGAAGTCGACTCAAAGGAGCACAGATTGACATCACCTACCGTTTCTGCGTCGAGAATCAAGACTTTAGGGCCGCTGACGTCGTTGAGAATCTTGTTGACGTAATCACGAACCGCAGCTATCAGCACCATATTGGCTGCTTCGCGCGATCAGCTTATAACGAATAGTTGCTGTACGACTTGAAACTGGTCTACGCACGTACGGTTGAGATCGTTTTGTGGGAATCGTGTATGTAACGGTTATGTTTTCTCAGCGAACGAGTGCCCTGGCCGTCAGAAGCACGTTGCTTACGAAGATTCGATATCCTGGGGTCAAAGACTGTCTAGTGAAGAAGTACGAGCATCTAACAACGTTACACTTGCTAGTAAACGGTCAAACGGTCGATTACCGAAGCGCGTCGGCGGATGTCGAGCAAATCGGCCAGGACAATACCAAAATTCGTCTCTAGATGTCGTCGCGACGAAGACACTAGTACGTCAGCGTATAAGCGTCTGAGCAACACTGGAACAGCGGGAGCAATGAAACAGTCTCAGATGTCACAGCACCAGACTCATCAGTTTCCAAAGCGAATTCTACTAGGCTCATCAGTTTCGGAAGTCCCTAGATTCTTGAAACATCGAGGTTCTTGAGAGCGTGCTTATGAACACACTTGACGGACCCTGAACTCTCAATCTGTAAGTGTCTAGTGAAATAAGCGGGTACATTTTCGGTTCACAAGGATCCGCACCAAGCGAGAGTGATATTGGTGGAATAAATTTCGTACCTGAGATTGTTAAAACAAGCTCGAGATTCAAAGCGTAGCGAAAGTGCTTGGAACAGTGGAGTGGCGGAAAACGAACGCGGGAAGTTCGTCTGACACAACATATACCTTTTGAAGGCGGATTCGAGTATAGAATGATTTTACAGACAGTACTCCTGTACAGACGGAACTCTAAACTTCTATACCGGCTATTTCGAACTCCCACCATGCCTGACATAAACGCTGCATCTCGCCGCAACGCGCCTTACACGTACCCTGCGATGCAACTCACCATGGTATCGCGTGCATAGCCTCGTCACTCGGCTGCACTTCCACGTGTCATTCAGCAGGCATTCCCGGCCAACACGCTCAGAACCGAGCCTGGTACATGCTTGGCACCAAGCCCAGTTCCAGGCCTAGCACCAAGCCTAGCACCGAACCTACCACCCAGCTTTGACCCAATCCATCACTGCACGTTCGCGCCCGTTGGCCCGCCGCCATGATCGCACCACGGATCGCGTCACGCGCGGCTCGGCGGGTGTTAGGTTCAAGTATCATACCTCGCACTGCTCCGTCAGCATCCGATTTGGCTGACGTGTTTGACGTGTCTCGCGTGGCGCCATCAGCAGCAGATCTAGCTGACGTGGCCGACGCATCTCGGGTGGCTGACGTGTCTCGCATGGCGCTGTCAGCTGCAGATCTGGCTGGCGTACGGCGGATTTCTACTTACCGTGCGTGTTCGTCCGCCTTACTGGCTTCTCCGGTACCTGTAGCCCCGAACCTACCGTCTCCATGGACGAGCCCGTTGACTCGGTTGACTCAGACACGCGGGTCGCAGTTCGCGTCAGGGTTCTCCATGCCGCAGCCGAAGCGCCTCGAGGAGATCATGTCGGTGGACGCGCTGCGAGCATGCGAGGCCGACGAGGTCGCCGCCATGTGGAACAACGTACGGCGCACACGGAACTCGTTATAAGTATCGCCTGTAAAGAATTCGCGTTATAAGCAGAGTCGGCTTGAAAATGTCCAGCACCATTTTGGTCGCACCCTTTTGTGCAATGGCTTGTATCTAATCATCCCTTTCTCCCCTTTTTCCCAATTTTCCTTTTTCATGACTCCATTTCTCCAACAGCACCACCTGGGTCGCACGCATGTCAGCACCGTGATTTCCGCTGCTGCTTTCGAGACGTTGCAGCACCGAGCAAAAGTGTGGTGAGTGCAGAGGCCGTTCTAAAGGGTAAGACGAGTGGGTCAACGAGGGGCGAGTGGGTCAACGAGGGGCGAGGGGTCAACCAGGGGCGAGTGGGCTAATGAAGGTTGGGAGGGATGGTTTTTGGGGAAGTGCGCGTGTGCATGCACGTACACGTGTATGTATGCACATGTGTGTTCTTTATGGAACGAGGACTTCATGCCCCCATGAACGTTGCCCATGCTATCAGCTTATCCCTGCCTTCCCATCTTTCCTCACCATCTTCCCCCCTACTCCATACCATTCCCTACTCCATTTCCCCTCCTCACATATCCTGCTCTGTTCTTTCCCCACTGTACAGCCCTATGTTTGTGCTACCAGTGGCAGGAAGCAAGGGATTCGTCACCATGCTCGCACAAGTTACTGCCATCGCACCATGTCGGACTCGAGCCTCACCACTCCCCTCTCCTCCCCACTCCCCTCTCCTCCCCACTCCCCTCTCCTCCCCACTCCCCTCTCCTCCCCACTCCCCTCTCCTCCCCACTCCCCTCTCCTCCCCACTCCCCTCTCCTCCCCACTCCCCTCTCCTCCCCACTCCCCTCTCCTCCCCACTCCCCTCTCCTCCCCACTCCCCTCTCCTCCCCACTCCCCTCTCCTCCCCACTCCCCTCTCCTCCCCACTCCCCTCTCCTCCCCACTCCCCTCTCCTCCCCACTCCCCTCTCCTCCCCACTCCCCTCTCCTCCCCACTCCCCTCTCCTCCCCACTCCCCTCTCCTCCCCACTCCCCTCTCCTCCCCACTCCCCTCTCCTCCCCACTCCCCTCTCCTCCCCACTCCCCTCTCCTCCCCACTCCCCTCTCCTCCCCACTCCCCTCTCCTCCCCACTCCCCTCTCCTCCCCACTCCCCTCTCCTCCCCACTCCCCTCTCCTCCCCATTCCCCTCTCCTCCCCATTCCCCTCTCCTCCCCACTCCCCTCTCCTCCCCATTCCCCTCTCCTCCCCATTCCCCTTTCCTCCCCATTCCCCTCTCCACCCCGTCACCCTGTCCTCTCCCCCCACTGTCACAGCCCTATGTTTGTGCTACCAGTGGCAAGAAGCAAGGGATTTGTCACCATGCTCGCACAAGGTGAGGCCCTCACAACATGAGCTGACTTATGAAATGACTCAAAAGTCAGGCCTTCATAACATGTCGGTTTGCATCTTGCCTCGTCCCTTTCTTTTCTCTGGCGCTCCTCTCTCACCTCTCTGTAGCTTCTCTCATTCATTTCTTTGGAATTCCCCTTTTCTTTGCCCGAAACTTTCTACAGTCACATGTGACATTCACATAAAACTCTTACCCTCTTCTCCCGTGTGTTCCTCTCCTCTCCTTACAAGAACAGTGTGAGCCCCTCCGCTGCACTTTACCCTCCTATACAATCACACTCCGTATAGTAGCACAACTCCCTCCCCGCCCCTCTCACGTTCCCCTCGTTGTAGTCATCGCTCAGATGCCCCGCCTCTTATTCGCCAGTTTGGAGGACTAAAAGCTTTGCGGCACCTCTGCAGCACCCTCCTTTACAGTCACACACTCCCACATTATGGTCATTCCTAATCACTCTTATCCGCTTCATCCCTATCCCCTTCATTGTAATCACAGCTCAGATGCCCCACCTCTTATTCACTGGCTTGGAGGACTTCAAGGTCCGAGGCCCCTCTGCAGCGCCATTCTTTACAGTCTCACACTACCCCGACCTAGCAGCTGAGAAAGGGGTGGTTCTGGTTCGGGGAGACGTGGTCCTTCCAAATAAGATGAATGATGATGAGGTGAGAAGGCAACACAGTCGGATGCTACGAACTACGAGCACTTTTTAGGTGCCTAAAAAAATGTCAGGGAGGGAGCAATGGTTGAATTGCAGGTGAGTGAGAAAGGGGTGGTTTTGGCCCTGGGAGAGGTGGTTCTGCCGAGCAAGCTTAATGGCGATGAGGTGAGAATAGTGTAGGGTGTTACAAGCTATCTGTGGAGTTGACTCAGTATGCAAGTGCACATAGCTAACTGCGGAGAAAGGGGTGGTTTTGGTCCTGGGAGAGGTGGTTCTGCCGAGCAAGCTTAATGGCGATGAGGTGAGAATAGTGTAGGGTGTTACAAGCTATCTGTGGAGTTGACTCAGTATGCAAGTGCACATAGCTAACTGCGGAGAAAGGGGTGGTTTTGGTCCTGGGAGAGGTGGTTCTGCTGAGCAAGCTTAATGATGATGAGGTGAATACGCTGGGGTGTTATACATATTTACTGCACACACACACGCACACACACACACACACACACACACACACACACACACACACACACACACACAAACACACACACACACACACACACACACACACACGCGCGGGCATTTAGTGTACATGTATACATATTTACTAGAGGCTTGACAGCAACCCTTGGTTTTCTTTGTTCCAGGCTCGGACACTTCTAAGAGATCTGCACTCTTTTTACACTGAGGACTCGCGCTACCGCCATGTAGAAGCTTTCAATAAGCGACCTGATGAGTTTGATTATCGTGCTGTTGTCAGGGCACTAGGAATTGTTGCTGCAGGCTGGTAGCGAGCATTACAAAATTTTCGCTTTGTAGAAGCATTCAGTAAATTTCTAAGTAATGAACTTGCTTGTCGTGCTGTTGTTAGGGCGGGTCCGACTTTGCACATGTACGATAAATTTTCAGCTCGGTTACCACATTTAGGCATGTAACAGAACTACGGTACAAGCGAACCAGAATCCACTTGACGCGAAACTGTACATATACCGTATTCTCCCGGACATAACACCCTAGGGTATAGCTAAAAATACAGGGAAAAAATGGGGGGGTCTCCTCATAGGAAAAAAATACATAATACCCGGGTCTTCACATATTATAATTTTTAAACACACATTGTGTTTTTTAAAATTGTGTATTGTGAAAGCGAAGCTGCTTGTACTGCACAATTGGCATCGTCGAAGCGCGCTAAACGCCCTTCTCCAACTACAAAAACCGTGGGTTGGAGTTCATTTCCCTCCACCCACGTTTCTCGATTTTCAAACGGCTCACTCAACACTTCTGCTCACGTAGTTTATCCCTCCGTCCAAGCTGGCTAGAAAAAAATCGCTTCCTAGAGGCGAGTCACCTTCGACCTTACTCAACGATATTTTTAACTTCAATCGCTCAACGATGGCACCGACGCCGACACTTAACAACGGGAACTCGTCCAACCCCGCCTCCGACAACGACCGTAACACCCGCGATTTGGCGGGCGAACGCCGTAACAAGCGACGGGCAGAAGATGGACCGCCCGCCCCGACTGCAGTGGACGTGCTGCTGGGCGGGCTCGAGGTCAACAACTCGGCCAACGCCCAGCAGCACCCTTCGGCGCCAGTGGCGCCAGTGGCGCCTGAGGTGCCTGTGGCGCCAGTGGCACCTGCGGCGCAAGTGGCGACGGCCGCGGGCGTGGCACACGCCACTGACGCCGAGCACACGCCAGCACCCGCGGCTGGACCGTCGCGTCAGCGCCAGAGGAGGCGGACGGCGGTCTCCTCGTCTGACGCGACGACCGCCCCTGCGTTGACGCAAGCGTTGACCCCGGACCAGGTCAACGCGCTGCTGTCCCTTCTACAGCAGCAGCCCGTCAGCGTTACAGCCGCGGAAACTGCACTACCCGATGCATCTGCGTCGGCTAAAAAAGAAAATGCAAAAAAGGAAAAAGGCGCGAGAGGAGCAAGGACCATTCGGCACGACAACGACGCAGCAGCAGCAGCACCCCCCGCTCCAGCGGTCGACAACGACACCGACGACTCTGAAGATGAAGCCGGTGAGGCTCCAGTCAACAATGTTAATTTTAATGGCACGGAACACCTTCCCCCCCTTGTTGAGATTAGAGAGAGAGAATGATGCACTATGAAATGAAACAAGTACAAGTACCAACCCTAATTGGGTTGTACCCCCTATGGGCTACCCCACTACAGCCTACATATATGCATCAGCAATATAATCATCTGACACACCCCCATAGGCAAAGTGGGGGAGAGCAAGGGGTCACAAGACCAGTCAAGTAAAGCAAAGCAAAGCAAAGCAAGCTCAGGGTGGATCTCAAGGATACCACACAAATTCCGAGCACAAGGTCAAGGCCACAAGGCCAGTTCACATGCAGCAGAGCATATATATATAACAGTGCTGAACAAGCAAGAGAAGGGATATATATATGCAGCAGTACAAGCAAGGTCAAGAGGTAAGCAAGTGAGGCCCAGTGGGCAGAAGGCCTAGCAGAGTGCAAAAGCGCTGATGGTCACGAGGCGGAAGTGCCTTGGTGGACACATGAGCAGTGCTGGCCTCAGTGGCCACGAAACGCAGGCGAAGCTGACCACGCTGCTGCAGCTCTCGAGCAAGGAAGTAGCGCAGAGCAATGTGCTTCGTCCTGTGCTCCAGTCTGTGCTCCTCACACAAGGCAATGGTTGCCTTGTTGTCGACGTACAGCACTGGAGGAGAACGAGGCTGCTCTCCAAGGTCGGTCAGCAGGTAGGTGAGCCAGCGAAGCTCCTGGGCAGCCATGGCCGTGGCGTAGATCTCAGCCTCACAGCTCGAGCTGAGAACCGAAGAAGAGCGAGTAGAGCGCCAAGAGACAGAGCCAGAGCCAAGACTGAAGGTGTAACCCTGAGACGACCTCTGAGTAGCCTGGTCGTCAGCCCAAGAAGCGTCTGAGTGCCCAGTGAGAACAGGCCGGTCTCGCCCTCCAAGCACTAGCCCCATGCCCGACGTACTGCACAAGTAGCGCAACACCCTCTTAGCTGCATCCATGTGCTCCTTCCGGTGACGGCCGGGAGCAACATAGCGTGCTAAGATGCTGAGAGGGTATGCGAGGTCAGGTCGAGTGCAAGTCATCAGGTACATGAGGCAGCCCACAAGCTCTAGATACGGACCACTCGACTCTACGGACTCATCCGAAGGCAGAGCTGAGAGCGAGTGTCCCGTAGGCAGAGGAGTGGACTGAGGCGAGGAGTACGTGAAGCCGAAGCGCTGAAGGACCTGCTGCACCATGTGTGACTGAGTCAGGGTAATGGTGCGGCGTGCTCTGTCCCGGGTGATCCGCAAGCCAAGATAGCTTGTCATTTCACCCAGGTCTGTGCACGTGTGTCTCTTCTGCAGCTCGGACTTCACGTGGGCGAGTGCGGCAGTGTCCGCAGTGGCAAAGACCAAGTCGTCGACGTACACGAGGATGTAGAACGGCGGCAGCGAGGTGTCGGTGCGCAGAAACAGCGACGGGTCAGCAGTAGAAGGAGCAAACCCAAGAGCCGCAAGTGTAGTCCTCAGTGTGTCGTGCCACTCACGCGGCGCCTGGCGGAGACCGTAGACTGGCCGCCGGAGGCTCCACTGGGTACCAGGAGGGAACGACCCAGTGAAGCCAGGAGGACGGCGCAGCCAGATCTCCTCGTGCAGGCGACCCTGCAGGAAAGCAGTGCTGAAGTCAAGAGAGTGTAGCTCGTAGTCACGCTGAGCAGCGACGTGCAGTAGAACCCGAAGAGTGGTCATCTTCGGGGTCGGGGAGAAGGTCTGAAAGAAGTCAACTCCCTGTCGCTGACTGAAGCCACGAGCCACGTAGCGCGCCTTGAAGACAGGCGGAGAACCCGGCGGCCGCTTCACCCTGAAGATCCACATGCCACTGACAATGTTCGCCCCAGGAGGGGGAACAGCGTCAACGTAGGTGCCTGTGGACTTCCAGGAGGCCATCTCTGCGTCCATGGCTGACTGCCACTGAGAGGAGTAGGGACCGGCCATCGCCTCTGCGGAAGAGCGTGGGGTCGGGATGTCTAGAGCATCCGGGTCTCCCTCAGGGGCAACAAGCATGGACACGAGATGGGGCAAAGCGGCAGCAAAGCACTGGAACTCCTCCTGCCTGTCCTCAAGGACGTCCGTGCCAAGAGCACAGCCACCCCCGATGGACGGAGGACAGGCAGACGCAGACGCAGCAGACGCAGACTCAGCAGACTTAGCAACAAGACTGGCAGCGTAGTCCAGACGACACGCAGCAGCAAAGTCGACCAGCTCAGCAACTAGGGCAGACGCAGCAGTGGACTCAAAGGAAGGGTCAGTGACAAGAGTAGCAAGAAGACGCGTGACAGTAGGACTGGCAGCACGGTGAGAGTCCGACTCCGGGTCGGCAAGAGTAGAAAGAGAAGACTGAGGAGGAGAAGGCAAAGGGGCACGCAGAGGAGCAGTGGACGGACGCAGAGACATCTGGTGCGTGCCAGGGACAGGAGGAGGACGCTGACGCGAAGCGCGACCACTAGTGCGAGCAGCTCGGACTGGCGACACAGGGCGGGACGCAGGCTCACGACGCTCAGTAAGACCTCCAGTAGGACCAGCGTAGGGAGAAGGAGAAGGCAGAGGAGAGGCGGGCTGTAACTCTGACCGTGACGGGACAGGCTGCGGACACTCTACGGGAGGAGAAGGACCAGTGGAAGGCGGGAGACCAAGAACCTGCTGAAGGAGCGGAACGAAGTACGGCCGAGGCCGCGCAGCACCGCCAGAGACAGCAGGGACAGCACCAACACCTCCAGAGGCAGCACCAGCACCAGTAGCAGCTCCAACTCCAGCACCACCAGCAGCTGCAGAAGTATCCGCAGTAGGACCGACAGTCGTAGCCTCAGCGCCAGCACCCGCAGCAGCTCCAGCTCCAGAGGCACCCCCGGGCCCGGCAGCTCCAGTACCCTCAGTACGAGCACCTCCGGGACCCGTGGTACCAGCTCCCTTGGCAGCAACGGAACCTCCAGCACCCGCAATACCCCCGGCTCCAGCAGCTCGCCTCCAGCGCCGGGCAAACCACTCACGCAGCTCCAGTGGAGAGAGCGGCTCGCGGCGCGAAGAACGGTCTGGAGAACCACCAGGAACAGAAGTAGCAGGCGCAGCACTCCCAGACGCAGAACCCCCAGACTCAGCACCCCCAGGCATAGCACCCCCAGGCTCAGCACCCCCAGGCTCAGCACCCCCAGTCACAGCACCCCCATGCTCAGTACCCCCAGGCTCAGCACCCCCAGGCTCAGCACCCCCAGTCGCAGCACCCCCAGGCTCAGTACCCCCAGGCTCAGCACCCCCAGTCTCAGCACCCCCAGTCTCAGCACCCCGAGGCTCCGCACCCGCCGCAGCACCAGAGTCACCAGTGACCTCGACAGGCTCGACCGCGTCTACCTGAGACACACCTGAAGGGGCAGGACCCTGAGGGGGGAGGGGGTCTACCGGGGGGGGACCTGGGACCAGGAAGAGGGGCGGGGGGGGGGAGCGACGGAGTGCGGTAGGGGAAGAGCCGGTAGAAGGGAACCGACTCGTCGAACGTGACGTCCTGGGAGGACAGAACACGACAAGAGGTGGGGTGGTAAAACTGCCACCCAGGAGCGTCAGGGGGGAAACCCAGGAAGACGCAAGGAGCAGCACGAGGGGACAGCTTGCCCGCAGACAAGTCGCGGACAAACGCCCGAGATCCCCAGACACGGAACGCCGACGCATCTCCAACCTTCCCCGTCCACAGCAAAGCTGGGGAGGTCTCCGGTCTGGAGACCCTGGGCTGAAGGTTGATCTGATGTGCGGCGTACCTCACAGGAAACGGCCACAGAAAATGGGGGGCAGCCGCATGCACCATGGACGTACGGGCGACGTCCATGACAATGCCGATGCGGCGCTCAGCAATCCCATTCTGCTGTGGAGAGTCCGGAAGCGTGAAGGTCTGGCGGATGCCTCGTGCCTGACAGTATGCTCGCAGAAGGCCGGAGGAGAACTCTCCGCCTCTGTCCGAGTGCAGACGCAAAACAGGAAAGTCCGAGCCGATGCTCCGCCTGAGCTGGAGACGAGCTGCGCGGATCCAGTCGATCAACACCTCAGTGACCTCACCCTTGCTGCGCAAGGGGAAGACTGTGGTGTAACGCGAGTAGTCGTCAACCACCAGCAGGAAGTAGCGCTCATGACCCTGTCCACGGACGCGGGCTGGGCCCCACACGTCCATGTGAAGCGTCTGCATCGGGGCCTCCGTCGGAGGAAATGGGGAGGAGTGAGGGGAAGCCCGCAGGCGACCCTCGACACAGGGTACACAGGGAGGGCCAGGTCCCGGAGGAAGAGGAGGGAGGGACCGGGGAAGGCCAAAGACAAGAAGGCGAGAGGCCATGCCCCGGAGACGAGGCAGGGAGGGGTGACCCATCCTGTGGTGCCACAGGAGGGTCTCGTGGGACAGGAGGCGACACGAGCAGGGGGCAGACTCAGGACCAGACCTGGACGCTGCAGCAAACACCTGACCCGACGCAACTACTTGACCAGACGCAGGAGGAGACGGAACCGTGAGTGTGTACAGGCTCGACCCCGGCCCACGTGTGAACATGGTCAAGTGTCGACCCGTGTCCGCGTCCGTGCAGTGGGTGTCCCGTCGGCGTGCAGGGGTGAACTGGTCGACCCCTGCATCCTGTAGGTCAGCACTCGCCACCAAGTTCGTAGAGAACGAGGGGAGGTAGAGACCGGACAGGGCGCCAGATGGGACCGCAGGGCACGGCAGGACAGTGGAGTAGCGAGCCAGAACAGGACCCCCAGAGGGGTCCGCCAGGGAGACCGCCACTGGCCGACTAAGCGGCGTGAGTGTGGTGCGGTCTCGAAAGAAGGAGCGAGACGCCCCTGAGTCAAGAGTGAAGGTGAGAGAGGGCGGAGCCGACGCAGTACCTGAGAGAGCAGACTCACCAGCACCTGAGGACACAGACTCACTGGCACCTAGAGCCACAGCCTCACCAGCACCTGGAGCAGCAGCCGCAACAGCACCTAGAGCCGCAGTACCAATGCCCGGGTCGGGCGGGAAACACCGGTAACAGTCACCCTCCTCACTAATAGTCACAGCATACATGGCAGCAAGAATAGCATCAAAGTCAAGATCAAAGATAGCTACTCCTGCCCTAGACAGCTGGTCCCAGCGAGGGATCTCAGAGGCGTCAGGAAACTGGCGGCGCCAAGCGTCAGTCAGGCGGCCGAAGCAGCGCTGGGCGGGGTGTGGACCACCACACAGCTCACCCGCACGGTCGCCCGTGCGCAAGACGTAGGTGCACGGACCAGTACCCCCACCCCTCTGACGTGCAGCGTACCACTCACGGAGCTGCTGCGGGGAGAGGGTCTCCTGACCACGCTGCTGCCGCTGCTGTTGGCGCTGACCGCCACCGGAGCCACTCCTCTGCGACGAGCCACGACCTCCTCCGCCGCCTCCTCCGCCGCCGCCGCCACCACCTCTGCTGCCACCGCCACTCCCACCATCGCTGCCGCCACCGCCGCCTCCGCCTCCACTCC